TGTGCGGGGGAGGGCGCGAGGAGCGCGGGGAGCAATGTGATTTTACGGTGCTGGTTATTAGTCATTCTCTTCCAGCCTTGGACCCCTGCCCCTCCACAACGCGCGCCCCTTCTCCCGGCTGTCATCATTCAGGTCAAGTGTGGTGACCCGGAGGTTGACGCCCTGCTGGAGGCCAGGATAGGGGAGTTTGTGGCCTTCATAGAGCGGCAGAGGGCACAGGACATCGCACAGGTTGGGGGACACCTTGGTGCGCGAGCGGGCGCGCATGGGGTCGCAGCGGGGTTTTGCAGGTTGAGCCCTCAGGCACGTGCGGCGCCTGCCCGACCCAAAGCCGTGCGACATAATCGCACGCCCTGCCTCGGCGCCCTTCAAAACACTCAGCTGCGGCTGTCCTTCTACGAGAAGCGGCGGCGCCAGGCGGGCTGGTTCATGCTGCAGCAGGATGAGAGGCTCTACTGGGAGCAGTGGTGCGTCGCTTCGCACTGTCACCCGCACGCAGGGACCATGGGGATGCGGAGAGGCTGGGCCAGCGTTCAGACGCCTGCAGAGGCCTAGCGCGCGGTAACTGGCAGGGCCTGGCGCACCTGGGAGCGTTTCAATGCACGAGTCGGGCCGCCAGGATCCTGTCAACGTCTGCGCGGGATCAGTCGGCGAGCAGGGTGCCACGGCTTGCAGCCTGGGGCGCTTGTGCCCACTGCATTCCCCTCATCGCGCCACCACAATAGGTGCATAAACCTGTGCATCGTGCAGCCGGACCCATTTACGCAGGACCACACTTCATTAGCATACACAGATGGTGGGCGTTCGCTGCGCAGCAGCCCAGCAGCATGCTTGACTCGGGTGCCAACACCAGGCGTCACCCGAGTCTGGTGATGCGTGGTGTTGGGCCGCACCTGCTGAGCGGGGCACAACCCAGACTGAGCTTGTTGCAGGCTGTCTGTGTCGGTGTCCACACACGCTGCTCACGATTGGATGGGGCATGCAGCAGCGGCACTCTCCAAAAGTACGCCGTGCCTTCACACCTGGATGGACCTCACCCCCCCCCCCATCCCTGCAGCTGCCTCCGTGCGCCAGGCGCGGCTGCAGTCTGCCGTAGAGGGCCTCGTGACGGCGGTGGTGCGGGCTGTCAACGACAAGCGACACCACATACCCCCCGTGGTCAGCAGCAGCACCGTCACGTTCCCTTTTGACATCAGCATGTCGGGGTGAGGCGGGGCGGTGGTGGGGCGAGGGCGGAGGGCCGTACAGGGAGAAAGCGGCGGGGTGTAGCCGCGCCTGCTCTTGTTCTGTGTCCTGCTGGCCCCAGGCGTCATGCCCGCAGCAGCCAGCAACCCTTCCGCCGATGCCGCCCACGCCCGCAACCATTGCCACCGCGCTGCAGGGGATCGCGATCTTCCTTCGGCCTGAGCGCTGTGCGCAAGATGCTCACCTCTGCCACGCCCCCTCCTGTGCTGGGCGCGTGAGCCGCGGCTTGTCCAGTGCCGATATGTTTAATTTCTACTTGATTCTCGTCCATCGAGCGCCGAGTGTCTTTACTCCGACAACTTCGGGGTGGCGCTCAATCCCATCCCAGCTGGCCGAGGGGTTGGGTGGCGCTGCAGGTTGTGTTGCGCCCTCTGCGCTCGCATGCTGCAGCGGCCCTCGGCTTGTGTCAAGCGGGGTGGTAGTAAAGGCCCTATTTGGTCTCAATTTGATTGGCAGCAGGAACAAGGAAGACCCACACAGGTGGGGCAGCACGCAGCAACCCGGGTGGTGGATGGGTCCCACCACGACAAGTCTCACAGCCCGCAGGGCCGCCAGTGCGCGTCAGAGTGCACCCCGCCATTAAGCCCCACACATTATTATTGAAAGCTCACATAGGGGGCCTACGAGGCTCTCATTTCAATCCTGGCCTGACGGCTGCTGCAGCGCACAGACCAGGCACACTCTGCCATTTGCACCGCTGTTACACCCAAGCGCTAGACGCGGCCACTGCCGTCATGGGCGTTCCAAGCCTCACAACAATCAGAGCCAGCCAGGAAACTCGCACACCAGCATTTCTACTGACCGCCGTCACAGCATCATGCGCGCACACATCGCAACCGCCTGCACCGCGTCCGCCTCCAGCGAAACAGGCTGCGCCGCCAGTGCCGTTACGGCACGCACCACTGCCGCATGGCGCCGCGGCTGCTGCGCTGCTTGGCGGCCGAGCCCTGCCTCGAGCGCCCGCACCTCTGCCAGGCGCTGTGCCCACGCGCTGTCGCGCTGCAAGTACGGAGCGCCGCTCTGCTCCTGGGCCGCGCCGATGGAGCCACCGCCGGCCCCAATACCTGCAGCAGCTGCTGCGTGGTCTCCCGCGTAGTCAAAGCTGACCCCATACGAGTCATGGCTGGCGGCAACCATTAGAGCCTCGCCCTTGCGCACCCGGCACTCATGCGGCAGTGGGTGCACCGCCTGCCGCCATGACGCCGCGTAGACCGGCACTGCGCCCACGCCAAGCGCGGCCGCCTGTGGCCTAGGTTGCGTTGCGGCGTCGCTACTCCCTGCGCTCGCCGCGCACACAGCAGCGGCAACATAGGTATGGGGGCTGGTGGTGACGCAGTGGCGGCCATCCCCCAGCAGGTCGAGCTCGAACCAGGTGGCTACCGCGTTGCAGGTCCCGGCCTGATCCACCTGGAACACCAGCTCCTGCCGCGCCGGCTGCAACAGTGCGCTGACGTCGCCTCCAGCAAAGTCGAACGAGAACGCCTCCTCGGGCGGCGCGAGGGGCGTCCAAGTGGGCGGGCCGGCTGGTGTGGCACCGGCCAGGTCGGCGGCAAGGTAATCGCCGGTACCCCAGGCGTATGCGCCGAGCGGGCTCAGGTCAAAGCCAACTCCAGCAGACGGCTGGCATCTGTGGGCTGCTCCACCGCCAACATTGGCGGTGCAGTTTGTGGCGTGCAGCAGCTGCCCCGGCCGGTCGAATTCAACTGGCTGCGCAAGTATTGTGGCACGTGCCGGCAGTAGCGCGCCGCCTGGGGAGAGCAGGCCTCGCGCTCGCGCGGCAGCTGCTATGTGGAGGGCACCCTCGCCGATGCAGCCGCTATCAAACACCTGCCAGGTGATTTGGGGCCCCCGGCCATGCAGGAAGGGGCAGGGAGCAGGCATGATTGAGGGCCCAGTAGTGTGGGGTGGATGAGCCAGCAGGCTGCGGGGGCAGGGCGCATGCATATGGCGCGAGCTGGGTGCCTCACGTCCACCTGCTGCATGGTTTGAATCGCAGCAGGCCCAGCATGGCGAAGCACATGACAGCGTGCGGAGTAGCGCTGTTGCGAGTAGCTTGTACTAAGCAGCAGCCCAACAAATTTTGTCACAGATGCCGGGGCTCTGACTTCTTGGCTGGTTTCTGGCGCGCCTCGAACCCGTCCGTGGACCGTGAGATCAAGCGCCCAGACTGAAAGGCTACCGGACAGTACCGTAAGCGAAGAGTGCGATTCCGCAACACTGCCGGCCAAATCTTCAGCGTACCATTTGCTCACCTCGAAAACGATCACGTCAGCCTGCTCATCCAGATCACCGCCAGGCTTTCCAGGCGCGCACAGCTCCACGTACCGGGCGTCTTTGTGCACTACTCGGACATTGGATAGGGCTGTTGCTGTCTCGGCTGCCTCGCACAGGTGCCGCACGCTCTCGACGGCGACCGCCTGGGTGGCACCGGCCCTGCACGAAAATATGGCGGGCGCAGCGCCTTGTCAGTATGTGCTCACAACGCCGCCACTACTACATCAATTCAGGTTGACACACAAATAAGTATGCAGATGCTCATGGGACGCACTGCGGCACTCTGCCGCGCAGCCTCGGGTTCCCGGAGCAGCCGCAGCGGCGGGATGCGCGCAGCAGTGCCGGTTGTGCGGCAGCGGGCAGCGGCACCTCGGCGCCACTATTCGGGGTCTGCCGTCACGCGAGCCGCTATAGAGGCGCCTTATGGTGAGTTGCAGCTGCAGGTCCAAGGGTTCTTGTTGCGCACGCAGCCGGTGTCCTGGCTGCAAGCATGTGTGCCGCAGCTGCCGTCCCTCCACCCCCCCACATACCGGCCCTGTCTCCCAAATCCCTGCAGACAGCAGCCCTGCAGACCAGCAAGGCGCGGCGACCCGAGTGTACAGTAATTGGACGGTGTACAAAACCAAGGGGGCCATGGCCGTCAAGTTCTTAAAGCCCACATGGGTGCCAGCCAACAGCCCCGGCGGCGGCTTCACCATGGACAGGTGCGTGCTGCCATCACTGCTCCTCCCCTTTTTCTCTGGTGTCCGCAGCTGGTTAGCAGCTGCTGCTTGCTGCTGTGTTGCCTTGTGCTTCCCGTCTTTCCTCTGACATCCACATCGGCACACGCACGCACGCATGCACAATCCTTTGAGCAAAGGGTGGGCAAGGTGCTGCTTGAGTTTGCGGCGGCCTCCGGTGAGCGGCAGTACAGCTGGGACAACAAGATCAGCCTGGCCATGAGCGCCACTGAGCTGGGTCAGATCTTCGCAGACCCCAATCAGGTGGGTATGAGGGTTTTGGTGGGATCGTGGTGAGTTGCAATCACGAGGTTGAGGGAAACAGGGGGCTTCATGTGATGGGTGGGATTGGAGGCCCAGCAGCGCAGCGCAGAGGTATCACACATGTCTTGTTGGCGTGGCACCAGCCACGCCAACAAGGGTGTCAGTGCGCATGCACACATGCCACGCCATGTGCGTGCCTGTTGGCATGGCAGTCCTCAACCTTGATGTCACTGCTGTCTTACCTAGCACTTTGCATGCCGCACCCCACCCATTACCCCCCTATCACCCTAGGAGCACAGCTTCTACCACGACCCCAACATCATGGACGCATCGTCCAGGGGTGCGGTGTCCAAGGCCCTGCGCTGGTCCCTGGCGCCAGACGGCAAGGCCTACTTCATCAGCGCGTCCATCGGTGGCACCAGCGCCACCAAAGCCAACATCACAGTCCCCCTCACCCGCGCAGAGTACTACGTCTTTGAATCGGTGGGTGCTTGAGTGGGCGGTATTGCCTGGATGGACGATCAACGCTGCATGGGCTCCCTGTGCTGCTGTGCTGTGCGTGTGCTGCATGCTGCCCTCGGTGAGCTGTGTCGTGCTGCATGCATGGGGCTGCCCTTGCACGCGTCATGGCAGCCGCCGCTGATGCGTCACCTGGTGCAGATGGAGTGCTTATTACCCTTGCCCCGCCTCCTTTACGATCCTTCGCCCCCCAACCCCGCAGCTGGGCCGCTTTGCCATTCCCCATCTACTGGGGATGGATATGGTCTTCAACGCAAATTGAGGGACGGGGAGGGGGCCGCTTGGAGGTTTTCTTGCTTGCTGCATCGCGCGTCAACGCCCTGGGGGCTACTGCGAAGTCACCTCATCAGATGCGTGGCTGGTGCCATACGGCGTTGACGCTGCCCAGCACAAAATGCTATGATTGCTGAGCGTCTGACCCCAGGCACCTCCCACCCTCTTGGCAGTCAGGCACATGAGCGATCATGCTGTCGGTGCTGCAGGTGTTCTTGTCGCTCGGCCCACGATGTAAACCTCGTGTTGCCAAATTTGCACAATTAGGCTAGCCAGCGGTGCGTACCATCAGGTGCAGCAGCTCACCTTGCGGCCATCAGTGATAGCAGCCCCGAGCCAGCCCCCAGATCCAGCACCCTTACGGGCACACTGTCGCCGGGCAGGACGACACCAGCAGCAGCCAGCTCTGCGCTTTTGCGCTGCCGCACAGCTGAGACCGCCGCCCTGCAGTCGCGCAGTGGAAAGGGAACATGTTTTACGCATCTCAGCTGTGCACATGAACAGTGCTGGTTTGCAGTGGAGCACACAATCGGTGTGAGGTCGCTACAAGCCACACATTAGGCCACCGCCCAGCAGCCACAGCAAACAGGGTGGCCTGTACAAGCGCCCCTTCCCTCGGCTCAAAACCCAAGCGGCTCGCCTTATGGCGGCGTCAAAGGCGCCGTTGCGGGCCTCGTCCGCCAGCATGGGCCAGTGCCAGTGCGCCAGGAGAGCGTGCCGAGGCCAGCCAGCCGGGCCCATCGTCAGAGCCAAGGGGGGGTCGCCAAGCGCCGGCGCCGCCGTCACTGTCACGCACAGGCTGCGTCCTTCCTGCGCGGGCCGCAGGCGCAACTGCACCTTCTGGCCGGGCCGCAGCTGCACGGGTGCATCCAGATATGACAGCCCCTGCTTGACGCTGCCGACCCTCACAAACACCTCAGCAGGCGCTGCACCATGCCCCTCAACCGAATCTGTGCCGTTTTGGGCGTCGCAGGCCACGTGCGCGTGGCAGCCGGCAAGCAGTGGAGCTGTTGAGGCCTGGATGCTGCCTCCTGCAGCCTCCAGCTCCAGCCACAGCAGGGCTGCATCGCACTGGCCACACGCAACAGCAGACACCTCTGCTGCCTTGTCGAGCTGCCGAAAGGCCGCCCGCTCCATCGGCGCGGGCTCTTGCAACGGCTCTAGTGCACGCGGGCTAGTGCTCGTGCCGCTCGGGGCTGGCGACGGCGATGCCGGCGGCTCGATGGCGGGCGTGCGCCATGCTGCTGCAGCTGCGGACCTGAGCATCTGCTGCAGGTCGAGGGCCGCAATGCGCGTTGGCTGCGACAGCAGCGAGAGGCCGGGTTCACTGCGTTTGTTGGAAGGGCCAAGGATGATGCAAACCAAGAAGAGTTCCAGCACCGTAAGCCTCCCCGATCAGGGTGTGGTACTCAGTAGGTTGGCAGGCTCTGTGCCTTTTGGGTTGGTCCACAGAGCAAGTGAACGATGGTGCATTGCGCCTGCCACCCTCCTCAGTCATGGCAATCCTGTTCTGCTGGTGGCTGGCCACACATGTGAGCACAGTCACGCACCATGCGGCATCCACCTCCGCCAGTCCGGGGTGCCACTTAAATCGCCGCAGTGCCGGTTCCAGGTCAAACCCACAAGCGCGCGGCACGCTGCACTCTGCCAGGGCTCCCAGGACTGCGACGCGCTCTGGAACCACGCGCACGCCCGGCGATATGAGATTGCGGGAGGCCGCGGCGTCGAGCGCTGGCAGGAGGCCCAGGCCCGCGAGACTGCAGCAGAAAAGGTGGGCGCAAGCGGCTCATGAGACTGCAGCACACGTGCACGATTGCTTGCTGCTATGACGCACTTGGCTGTGCCGTCAAGGCTGCTGGTCCTCGTCTCAAGACGTGAGGCGAGAGGTGGCCGCCCTGCCTTGGCAGCTGACATCTCTACTTGTCCGTACGAACACTTGCTCACCCACCTGGGGTGCGCCCAAAGGTCTGTCACGACCAAGTCAGCTGGGGGACCGTCAACCCAGAATTGCACACCGTCATGATTGCCACGCCTCTGAGCAGCAGCCAAACCTCCCTGCTCGCCGCGTTCACAACCGCCGCCGCAACCCATGGCATCATGGCCGGTTGCGGCAGGCAGCCCGTTACGCAACCAGCACTGCTCAAGCGGCACGGGCACGAGCTCGATGTGGCAGCCCAGCTCCTCAACCAGCTCTGCGTTGGCGCTGACCAGCCGCCGCGCCGCACCCAATGCCAGAGGGTGCCGCTCGATCACGGTCACGCGGCGCGCGCCGGCGGAGGCCGCCAGCAGCGCCAAAACGCCGCCGCCTCCAGCGCCCAGCACGAGCACGTGCGCGTCTCCCATAGGCCCGGACAAGCCGCCACTGCCCCAACCATTGCCCAGCAGCGCGCGGCTCAGGGATTCTGCATACCACGTCAGCAGCCCGGAGTCTCGGGCCATTGCCAGTCCCCTGGCCGGTGCCTCCAGGTCCGCCAGTGCGTGAGAGAGCCCGCCCAGCAGTGCCAGGTTGGCCTTACAAAGAGGAGCGTATGCCAGGCGACTTGGTGCATCGCGTATGTTTAACGCAGCGGCACTGACAGGCAGGAGCGTCTTACATACTGAGGTTAGTGTGGGGTGTGCTGACATCCAGGCAGCGCCGAGCGCTGCAAGGTAGATTTCCTTGTAGGCTCGTCAGGCACCCTCCCCCAGCAACGCCCCCACCTCAGCTCTTGTGAACAAATCGCCCACAATGACCGGTCCCCCGACGACCTATGCACTCCCGCCGCCGCCCACCTGGTGCTCGTCGCGTGCTGCGCCATGCTTTGGCCCCGCGAGCAGAGCCCGCGCCAGGGCCTCCCCCTCGTCGCGAGGCCCCAGTGCTGCCGGCTGCTCCTGGTTGCCGCAGCCCTGCTTGGTGCTCTGCATGCGCGCCATTGCAGGCAGCCATGTCGGCCGCCACTCCCAATCCTCCACCTCCCACTCGTACGCTGCCATCCCCTGCTCAAGCTGAGACACTAGCGCCTGCCTGCAAGCTGTCTCACGAGCGGCACGCGCCGCCCATGCCGCGTGGCCCCTGTACAGTTCCGACTGCGCAGCGGCACGGCGCATGGCACGGGCGGCATTGTCTTGGGCCTTGGCCAGCAGCGAGCTGGGCCTTCCACTGGCGCCTGCACTGGCGGGGTCAAGGGTGGCGGCGCGGCCCAAGGCAGCTGCGGCCTCGGGCCAGAGCTCTGCGGCGGCGAGAGCGCGCCCCAGGCGGAACCAGCCCTTGTGCCATAAGGGATCGGCGGTTGTTGCCGCCTGCAGAGAGCCGTGCGAAAAAGCAAAAGTGATACGTACACAGCGGGGTCATCTGTGGTGTCAGGTGCTCAATACCTGATAGGTTTACAAAGCTTTTGCGCAAACGCATGCATGCGTGCGCACACCTGTGCGTCTGTCAGCGCCTCGTCCACGTTCCCGACAGCCAGGTGGGCGGCACTGCGGTTGGATAGGAGCACCCTGTCGCCAGGCACCAGCTCCAGAGCACGTGTGTACAGCTCCACAGCAACTGTGTTTGGACAATGAAAACAGGGGAGAACGGTGGACTGAAGCAAGCGCACAAACCGCTGAGCATCAGGCCGGGCCTTGGAGCTGTGCAGGAGGGGCCCGCGGTCACCTCCAAAGCTGCGAGCTTCGTATGCCGCATTTGCCTGGGCCTTCAGACGCTCCTTGAGCACCGTGGCGGCCTCCATCTGATGCGCGAGTTGCCAGCCCAGTTCGCGGGGATTCGAGCGACCGAGGCAAACTCGTATTGTTCAGATTAGAACAGAAACCAAGTTTTTTCTATTGTAATAGCCATGACAGGCGTGATGCAGTATAGTAGAATAGAAGTTTACCTCAATCACCATGGTGTCGTAGTCAGCCATCACCATCTCACAGGGGCGTGAAGTGACAAGTGTGCGGCAAAGCGAGTGGGGTATCCCTGCCCGTACCCATTCCACCGGACAGGCGTTATGCAGTAAATTGCATCTGCTGCTTGCACCGCAGTTGGCGGAGCCCCATTGTCAGCGACACCACACACCAGTGCTTTGAGATTTCCGAGGAGCGCAGCTACGAGGGCCCACAACCAGCGTGCACAACAGGTTCCATGCAGCTACAAACTTGAAGATTCAGCACACCAGCAGACATAACTGCCGTGTTATTCAGGTTGCACTTCATGCCAGCCTCAACTGGCCTTGCCTTGCAGAGCGGCACCATGCACAATGCCAGCACCATACTGCACCAGCCTGGCCTGCTCCATACAGTACATTCCACCAGAGAACACAAGAGTCTTATGATTGTTCCACCGCTCAGAAACACGCGCGGGCCCTGCTGGCCCATCACGCAGCTCATCCACTTGTGCGTGCCATGAACTCCAGGTGCTCCAGTGCTCGCAATCTGCATAAACCTTCAGGTGTTCAACCGGTTCAGGGACCTTACTTGTGTGCAAGCCGTGTGTGGGCCAAAGGCACATAGTCCGTGCTGACTTTGTGCCATCGGCCTCCTGCTGCGCATTTCCCACACCCGGCTGTTGGGCGGGCGCAATGCCCAGTGTGGTGCTGCAGGCGTCCCCAGCCCGATCCCCCTCAACGCCTTGCAGCCACCACTGCTACCGCGCTGCGAAGTGATTGCTTGAGTCAACATTATCCCATTCCTGACAGACAGCCTTCTCAGCTGTCCCGACCGGCATCCAACCGCTGTTACCTACCCTCAGTGACAAAGGGTGACATTTGCATGTGGGCACAAGCATGGCAGTGATATATAGGTATTGCGACCTTGGTCAAGCAACATGGGTGGCATCCCCAAGCTGGAGGCCAGCCGCTGCGCCTCTGCATGAATGCGTGTGCCGGCAGTGCATCATGTTTGCAGCAGCTTCAGAGCAGCGCGCGCTCGGCTCCCGTTGGAGCCGGCCTCTTGTCGGCCGCGCGATCAATTGCATGTTGAATTCACAAACTCTTGAGACGTTACAGGCGGCAGGGTCATGCAGGGGCCGGTGAAGAACACAGCAAAGCGGCCAAGTTCTGACGACGTCCCCGCCAGCGAGCGCAGCAAGAAGCAGAGGATGGCCGAAGCACCTGAAACCATGGACATTGATGAGAACCTTCACAGCAGGCAGTTGGCGGTCTATGGCCGCGAGGCGTTCCGCAAGTTCCAGACGGCCAGCGTGCTGGTGGCTGGCATGAACGCCCTCGGCGTCGAAGTCGGTGAGTATGGGCATTGGCGCGCTGATCGAGGCGGCCGTATGCGGCCACAGGGTGGCCTAGTAAGGCGGGAGGGATCTGAGATCGCGCGTGCGGGCCTCTCTTTTCCCTTTTCGCAGCCAAGAACGTGATCCTGGCCGGCGTGCGTGCCGTCACGATCCACGACACCAAGGCAGTGGAGACGCGCGACCTTGGCGCGCAGTTTTACCTGACACAGGACGACGTGGGCCAGAACCGGGCAGAGGCGTGCCGCGACAAGCTGCAGGAGCTCAACGGCGCTGTCGAGGTGGCCGCTAGCTCGCAGGAGCTGACTGCTGAATTCATTGGACAATTCCAGGTGGGATAGAAAAGCTTACAGACATGCGCGAGCAATGCCAGCGGTTGAGCAGGCGGTTGGGCGCTGCGCGTGCTGGCAGCCGTCGCGGCCCTGCACCGTGCCTTGAGAGGCAGCGCGATGAAGTGGGGTGCTTCTTCATCAACGCCGCTGGCCTGCAGGCATGCATTGTAGCAGCTAAGCTATTCCCGTCCGGCAGCTGCATGTGCAAACTCTGGCTGCACAAACAACAGCCGTAGGCCAATCAGCGTTTCCTATGCCCCAGCCTACCCTCCCTGTAACCGACCCACCACCATGCACGCCTGCGCGCATGTGCATGCACACATGCACACTGAGCCGCATACACCTCCTGGCCCCCGGTCCACCACCCAAGGTGGTGGTGCTCACGACGGCGAGCCTGGAGGAGTCCAAGCGCATCAACGAGGTGTGCCGCACCCACAGCCCGCCAATCGCCTTCATTCGTGCGGAGACGCGGGGCGTGTTTGCCAGTGTATTTACGGACTTTGGCCCGTCCTTCACGGTGTTTGATACGGACGGTGAGGCCTTTGGGACCTGGGTGGGCGCTCGTGTGGGTACTGGTGCGGGCATACGCAGCAACAGACGGAGCAGCAGCAGCAGCGGCGCTGGCTCCCGCAGCGATAGTTGCAGAAGCAGCGGCGGCAGCAGCAGTGGTGGTAGCAGCGGCGGCAGCAGCAGCGGCGGCAGCAGTAGCGGCGGCAGCAGCAGCGGCGGCGGCGGCAGCAGCAGCGGCGATGATGGCAGCTGCAGCGGCGGCAGCTTCGCTAGGGGCAACAGCACTGGCAGCCGCGCCAGCAGCTGCAGCAGCCGCGGTGCCATGGACCTGACAGGGTGATTTGCGGCTGGTTTGGAGCAGTGCATGATGGTGCAGCGGCTGTGTAGTAGCTAGTGCACCTCTTGGTGTCACGGTCGTTTGCAGAGCCTGTTGCAGCAGCGGCCGGCCCTCGGCGCATTTGCGGACATCTGGTGGCGTGACGCCCGGTGCTTGCATTGCAGCCCAGCACTTTTCAGCCGTGGCTACAATGTATTTAATGGGATAGCGCAGTGCAAAACCTGTTATGATGATGCAGCTCGTTGGATGACAGGGATGCCAAGCCCCTCTCGTTTGAGTCTGACTGCTGTTGCCCTACTCTTTGCAATAATACGTCTCCCCCCTCCTGACCACCCCCGCCTGCGCCCCTCCCTAAAACGTCTCAGGCGAGGAGCCCCACAGCGGTATCGTGGCCTCCGTGACCAGCGGCAACCCGGCCCTCGTCACCTGCATCGACGACGAGCGCCTGCAGTTCCAGGTGAGGGGGCCACCAGGTGGAGGGGGGGCGCGGATGTGAAGCGCTTGTTGTTCTCAGTGGGATCATGGGGACACTGTCTTCAGAAGAGCTGAGCTGATGTAAGACAGGATGGGCGAGCGAGGAGTGCATTCTCTCTCCCACGCCAGCCGTGCGTCACTGGGGCCGCAGCTGGTGTGCCTGACTCCCCTCAGCTGGTTGCGTTTGTGGGCCCGGCTGCTCAGTAGCCACAATGCTGCGACACACAATGTTGGTCCTCCCCAAAGGATGGTGACCTGGTCAAGTTCACCGAGGTGGTGGGCATGGAGGAGCTCAACACCCACAAGCCCATTCGCGTCAAAAACCCCAAGGTGGGCTTGTGATGCCTGGCGTGCATGGGACCGGGCGGGGGGGGGGGGGTATGAGTGCTCAGCTCATGAATCTGTTGAACGTCTGGAATGCTGGCAGGGGTGTAGTGTGATTTAGTTGGTGAAGCGATGAAGGAATTGGGCCTGCGCACCAGCCCTCAAGGTCGAGCACCCCCTCCTTGTGTGCTGTCCTGAGCCACGCGTTTCTCCCCCCCCCCCTGCCGGTCCCTCCCTGGATCTGGCAGGCCCACTCTTTCGAGCTGGATCTGGACACGACCGGCTTTGGAGAGTACAGCCGTGGCGGCATTGTGACGCAGTTCAAGGAGCACAAGACGCTCGCTTTCAAGAGCCTGGCAGAGGTGGGGGCCCTCGGGCAAGGAGGAACAAACTTGGGAGTGAGGGGGTGACTCGTGCACTGGGCTCTTGACGGCGAGGGGGGGGGGGGGGTGCGCGTTGCAGCACGCGGGTGGCGATGGCTACTCATGTGGCACAGAGGCCGTTGTTCGGTGCATGTGGTGCAGGGCTTGTGGTGTGTGGCCTGGCGCTTGTGGTGGTGCCTCGAGTCAGCTGCTTCTTCGTGCATGAGACGGGCTTCAGCGTCGCTGCTCAGCAGTCGGCAATGCACGTAGCTTCACGCTGCCTGCCAAAGAGTCAATGCCCGCCTGTCACTTGCCCCTTCACTGACATGTGTCCTTTCATGTCTAACACCCCCCCCCCCACACACACACACACACATGCGAAAATCATCCCCAGGCCATTGAGTCCCCCGGTGAGTTCCTGCTGTCAGACTTTTCCAAGATGGACCGCCCCCCGCTGCTGCACCTCGCATTCCAGGCCCTGGACGCCTTCCAGGTGGGGGGGCAAGGGTTTTCAAGGGGCAAGGGGGGTCAAGGGGGGTCAGCTCTGGAGGGGTGCTGGGGTGGACAGAGCATCCGGGTTGAGGCGGGGCACGGGGGAAATGCAGAGTTCTAGGGGCCGGTTGTGAGGGACGGGGAAGGGGCCCGGGGAGGTTTGTTTGTTTGTGTACAAGTGTGGTTTCTCGGGGCGTGGCGTCGTGAATTGATATCACTTGCGCTCAAGAAGCGAAATGAAGCATAAGCTACGGTGAACTGGGCCGTCTAGGACAGTCACAGGGGGGCCTGGCGGATCAGGGCTTGTAGGGGATGCTGCGCGGCGCTGACATCATTCATTGGCTGACCCTGCGCAATTCCTTGGCTTTGCATCGTGGCGCGGGTTTGTCATACCACGATGCAGAGCCCAAGTGGCTGACACATTCAGCCTGACTCGCGCTGCAAGCCCACTGCTTCTGGAGTCTGGGGCGTGGCCACAAACTGCAATTTACGCCCTTGGCAGGCTACCACACGCTCGTGACACACGCACCCCCAGCCTTCCACCCTGTGCACCAGCTTGCATCGTGACCTTCCGGCCCTTTCCTGCAACTCTGCACCCCTCCAGGCCGAGTCTGGCGCCCTGCCGCGCCCCGGCAACGCGGGTGACGCTGCCAGGCTGGTGGCCCTGGTGGAGGGCCTCAACGCGGCGGCCCCCCAGGAGGCGCGGCTGGAGCTGGATGACGCCGCCAGGGGCGTGCTGCGCAAGCTGGCCAGCGGTGAGCCTGGATGGGGCGCGGGGGTGGTGTCTCTGCGTCTAAATGTCTGTGTGTTTGTGGGGGGGGGGGTGTCGGGGGCAGGGCTGAGGGTGGCATGTGGCTGTGAAGGGCAAGGGGAGCCCTTGCCCTGGTCGACGTGCAGCCCTGAGTCCAACAACCGCCGCCACACCCACCTGTGCCCTGTGGCCGTCTCACAGGTGCGAGCGGGGAGCTCAACCCCATGGCGGCCATGTTTGGCGGCTTTGTGGGCCAGGAGGTGGTGAAGGCCGTGAGCGGGAAGTTCACGCCCCTGTTCCAGTGGTTCTTCTTTGACAGCGTCGAGTCTCTGCCGGAGGAGCTGCTGCCAGAGGCGGAGTACGAGGCACCCGGCAGCAGGTGGGAAGGGGGGGGGCCAGTGGGGTGTGCGGAGTGTCGTTTGACTTTTTATGGTGTGTGTGTGTGTGTGTGTGTGTGTTTGTGTGTGTTTGTGCGTGCCGTGCACCGCCCTTTCCCTGCCTCAACCCCATCCCCCCCCCACACACACACACTCACACACACCCCTCAAGGTACGAGGGCCAGGTGGCCGTGTTTGGCCGCGCCGTGCAGCAGCGGCTGGCCGGGCTCAAGGTGTTCCTGGTGGGCGCGGGCGCCCTGGGCTGCGAGTTCCTCAAGAATTTCGCGATGATGGGAGTGGCCACAGGTGGGCGGGCGGGTCAGGAAAAGCGAGAGTGTGGGCCGTCAACGTCCCCCGGGTTGTAGCCTTGCAGCAGTGTGGGGCGGGGCGGGGCGGGGGCAGCTCGGAGGGAAAGCGTGGGGTGGGCTGTGGCCTCAACAAGAGGGCACGTGCGGTTGTTATGATTTCTCGCCAGGCCCACAGCGCATGGGTTGGGACCACGGCAGCACCTGCATGTGTATGTCACACCCGCCGGCTCAGGCGTTCCCCTGTGGCCCGCTGCTTCCACGCGCCCCGCACCGTCGCCCCCCGCCAGAGGGTGGTGAGCTGACTGTGACGGACGACGACACCATTGAGAAGAGCAACCTCAGCCGCCAGTTCCTCTTCAGGAACTGGCACATAGGAAGGTGCGTGAGTGTGTGTCCGTGTGTGTCTCTGTTTGTTTGGGGGACAGGGTGGGGGGCAACCATGGGGGTGCACCACCACTACGTGTTGCTCGCTTTCGGGGGGATTGCAACTGCATCTGTGAGGCCAGCCGAATGTCCGAACACGGTGGGGATTTGTGTCACGCGGCAGCTCCCAGGCATGACCGCCCTTTGTCCCACCTCCCCGCAAATACCACCGCTGTGTGCAGCTCCAAGAGCACGGTGGCGGCAGAGGCAGCGCAGAAGCTCAACCCAGCCATTCGCATCAACGCGCTGCAGGTGGGTTGTTGAGGCGGTTCTCGAGTCTGTCGTGAAGGCGTTTTCTTATTGGGGGAGTGTTTGGGGGGGGGGGGTGAGGGCAGCGAGTTGAGGCCTCATGAGGCGCGCACATTATTGGCGGCGTGGGCGCTGCAGGCGCTATGGATCTCAATCTCGTTGCTCCACTAGCGCCTGCGGTGCTCAGCGTTTGCAGTTGGTGCCATCGCCGTGGCCTCCGATGTCGCTGCTCAACCCTTGCACGCTCGGCCACCCCTTTCACCTCAAGCCCAAGCACACTCCTGCATGCTTGTCCAGATACACACCCTCAACTGGGACCTTCATACACACTCCACACATGCCCCCCCCCATACACACATACACACGCGCGTGCGCACGCACGCGCGCACACACACACACACACACACACACACACACACACACACACACACATGCAACGTCTTGCACCACCCAAGATC